CAAATATGTCTGCGTCAAATTCCCCCCGGGTGCCTTTCCTTTTGCCCAAAACGTCTGGGGGAAAAGAATGAAGCGCCAGGTCAAACCAGCGGAGGCCGATGACCTGGTTGCTTGGGAAGCCACTCTCCGGGCCGGGGATGCCTCCACCCGCGGTCTGTACCATGTTGGGAAGTGGAGCGTCTACCCCGGCCGGGAGACCAACCCCGAACCGGAGATTGTTCTGCCCGGGGTGATCCCCGAAGCCATCCCCATCCGTCGGGCGAGGGGATCCAAAGCCCCGGCCACTACCAATGCCGGTCCTTCATGCCCGGCGAAGAAGAAGGAGGAGGAAGGTCAATCAACCGCCCTTCTCATTTTTCATTTGAATTAATTTGTTCTCAACTGCATTCTTCTAACCGGTTCCCTTTTTTTTTGTTTCAGTGGTGAAGTTTCAATCCAAGTTCGCCGTCCCCCAAATCGTGGTTGAGGAGCCCTCCTCCGCTCAGCCACTCACTCCTCCATCCAACCAACCACTCTTGATGGATGATCTGCCGGCCCAGTCTCACCAAGGGACCAGCCAGCCGATTCACTCGGGGGAGATCTACTTCAACGTAGACACCTTTGAGTTCGACAATCTGATGGGTGAGACTGGGCATACGTCCCAGGCGGGGGTGGGAGACCGGCCCAATGAGGAAAGGGACGCCAAGGAGGAGACTTCTGGGGGGTCCCTTCAACGGAAGAAGCGGAAGACTAAGGAAGTCAACCAGCCTTCCCATCAGGGGCCCAGTCCTCCGACGCCGGCAAGGGGCCGATAGTGCCTCGTTCTCTGGCTCTAATGTCCAGGTCAAACGAGGAGCTCTTCCGAGCATTCCGTGCTGATCTGAATGAGGTAGCCCCTTTTCCTCTCCCACCGCCTACTTACCGTTTTTATACTTTTCTGAGTAATTTTCGATGTCTTTGAAGCAGGTCGGCCGGATCGGGGAGGAGTACTTCGCCCGGCTGGTGAAGTCAATGGATGAGGAGAAGGCCCGGATGGAGGCCATGATGGTCGAATGCCGGAAGGAAGCCCAGGCTGCCCGGGCCAAGGCAGAGAAGATAGAGGCCAAATGGACAGAGCACTGTGCGGTTTACCGCCAGCTCTATGCCAAGCACGATGGTCTCCTCAAGGCTGCGAAAGAGGCCGATGAGCAGGCCCAGGCCAAGATCAATC